TAAGGTTATTTATTATGAATAATAATAATAGTTAAATAGTAATTTGAAGTTTTTTTTTTTAAATTTATTCTTACTAATTTTTTTCATAGTTACTTCAAATCTTAAGATTATTATATGATGGAATAGAGGGTCAAACTAATTATTCACAAATGTACATCTTATTAACAATTTTATTATTGTTAAGTCAAGATGAGATTTTCAATGAAAATATTCAAAAGATTGTATGCATATATATATATATATATTATACTATAAATATAAATATAATTTATTCACTAATAATAATGCCAATTAATAATAGATAGTGATATATCAGCCCTGGTTTACTGAACGATTAATGAAATCGATATCTTTAGCTGGTTTAACTTATTTGGTGCTGATAAGAATCATTCAATTTAATCTTGGTTCCCATAGGGTAATTATTATTATTAATACTAATTATTGTAAGGCATTATGGCAATATTAATATTTATTAACATATTTAATTATTAAGGATGTATATTTCCACACTAGTAGTTTGGCAATTTTGGCAAATATCGGGAATAGCATGAAAGATATGCATCTGTATGTTGCTCAAAGACTTGCAAAGTATGTTAGTTATTTATTTTTTTAATATTTGTGAAATTTTTAGATGATGTTTACTAATCTGCAATTATTTTTATTTTATTTATATATTTTTCTTGGTAGTTTGTTTGAAATTGTTTCCAAAAAATATTTAAAACTTTTAAATAAACTTAACCAAAAACAACCAAATGATCAAATGGATGTTGTAAGTAGTAATTTATTATACCTGTCTGTTGTCTATCTATTGATCTATTGATCTGCTTACCTATATATATATATATTATCGCACAATGTTCACCTATATTTGCATCATTGATCAGATATCTGATATATCGATAGCAATATATGGAGAATTTGTGTGCCTATTGTTAGAAATTATCAATTCAATATTGACAAGACATCTTGCACTAAATCTGGAGCTTATATATTCATTATTACACAAGAAAGATATGTTTGCAAATCTGCAAACACACACTAGATTCTCAGAATTAATAGCTAATATTGATAATGTTAGTAAGAAAGTCATATAAGAATAAATAATATGATGATAATAATGATAATGATACGAATTCTAATAAATAATAACAATTATTATTATTGTTGTTGTTTTACTTGTATGGATGAATTAATTAGGTAATAAATTATTTCCAAACAAGAATTTCTGAAGTTAATTTAAGATCGCCATCAGCTGAAGAAATTTCTGAGGTGATTGTAACCTCGGCAAGGACTTGGTCAGCTAGTAGACTTAAAGAATTCCCAGAATTGAAATTTAAATATGGAGAAGAGCTTGAATCACAAGAATTTTTTTGTCCGTATGTTTGGTCACTTGTCTATCAACATACTTGGATATATTGGGATGAGGATAAAGTACACATAATAAATAATTATTTTATGGTTAGTAATAGCAATAGTAACGATGAATATTTTGAAACGATGTAATAATTTGATTTTTATTTTATTTTTTTCAATTTCTTTTAGTATGAAGAATCAAATGTTTCAGAAGAAATTAATTAATCGATGTTTTAGAAAGATGGAAGAGGTTTATTAATTAATTGTTATTTATAAATGGCTACATTAAAAAATAGAATATATTTATATATAGAATATTGTTTATTTGTTTATTTTTGCTTTTACACTTGCAAAAAAAATAAAATAGACTGAAAATATCATTCATTCATTCATTGATTTATTTATTCACTTACCATCATCATTCATTTATTTATCTTCTTACTAATCACTGTATTGAATCTTATGAATAGTATAACTCAAGATTCATTCCATACAGGGACGATGATTTTCTGCAGCGAAAAAAAATCAAAATCCGTTAGCAATCACGCCAAGAATCTGCTTCTTATTTCTGCTCAAATTCTGCTTATATTTTTTTGCAATTTTGCCAATGAAAAAATCAAATTATGAATATTATTCAAAAAATAATAATTAATGAAATTAAATTTTTTAGTGAAATTTCTGAAAATTTATCAGGACTTTTCTGACAGTAATTACAAAACAAATGACCAGTCAAGTGACATTTTCAGAAAATATTGTATAAGATGTCAATTTCTTCCCATTAATATATTTTTTAACAAAATCATAATAATTTTAAGGGATGAATGAATGAATTATAGGGCCTCAATAATTATATTAATATGGAGATGTTAATCGTCTGGTCCAGTCCTATCTTGGAACCGGGCCAGACTTAAGTCATGAAAAAAGTCCAAACATAAAATGTTTGTAGTAGCTTTTTGGTCAACCTTGATTATTTTACATTTTATGGCCAAGTTCAAGTTAATGTTTTTCGCCATCAGCTGAAGAAATTTCTGAGGTGATTGTAACCTCGGCAAGGACTTGGTCAGCTAGTAGACTTAAAGAATTCCCAGAATTGAAATTTAAATATGGAGAAGAGCTTGAATCACAAGAATTTTTTTGTCCGTATGTTTGGTCACTTGTCTATCAACATACTTGGATATATTGGGATGAGGATAAAGTACACATAATAAATAATTATTTTATGGTTAGTAATAGCAATAGTAACGATGAATATTTTGAAACGATGTAATAATTTGATTTTTATTTTATTTTTTTCAATTTCTTTTAGTATGAAGAATCAAATGTTTCAGAAGAAATTAATTAATCGATGTTTTAGAAAGATGGAAGAGGTTTATTAATTAATTGTTATTTATAAATGGCTACATTAAAAAATAGAATATATTTATATATAGAATATTGTTTATTTGTTTATTTTTGCTTTTACACTTGCAAAAAAAATAAAATAGACTGAAAATATCATTCATTCATTCATTGATTTATTTATTCACTTACCATCATCATTCATTTATTTATCTTCTTACTAATCACTGTATTGAATCTTATGAATAGTATAACTCAAGATTCATTCCATACAGGGACGATGATTTTCTGCAGCGAAAAAAAATCAAAATCCGTTAGCAATCACGCCAAGAATCTGCTTCTTATTTCTGCTCAAATTCTGCTTATATTTTTTTGCAATTTTGCCAATGAAAAAATCAAATTATGAATATTATTCAAAAAATAATAATTAATGAAATTAAATTTTTTAGTGAAATTTCTGAAAATTTATCAGGACTTTTCTGACAGTAATTACAAAACAAATGACCAGTCAAGTGACATTTTCAGAAAATATTGTATAAGATGTCAATTTCTTCCCATTAATATATTTTTTAACAAAATCATAATAATTTTAAGGGATGAATGAATGAATTATAGGGCCTCAATAATTATATTAATATGGAGATGTTAATCGTCTGGTCCAGTCCTATCTTGGAACCGGGCCAGACTTAAGTCATGAAAAAAGTCCAAACATAAAATGTTTGTAGTAGCTTTTTGGTCAACCTTGATTATTTTACATTTTATGGCCAAGTTCAAGTTAATGTTTTAGCTACACTTGTTGATTAATTGCAGGCTTTTATATATAATGCTCGTCAATTAATTTTTTTGCAAATTTATCCTATTTACTGCCCCTTTCTTGACCTAGTGAATCTGGAAGCACAATTTATGGCGCAAATAACAATGAATTATAATATTATAATAAAGCAACAAAGGCTCCTATAGAGTTCCTATTTTATTTGCTTTAATTTTTACTTTTTTTGGCTGATTAAAGTCAGCAATTACTTAGAACAATACAATATATGATAACGATAACTGTATAGGTGGTCGATTAGTAATAACTCTTAACGCTTAATACTTTTGCTAATCAGACTTTAACACCTTACGTTTACTCTTAAACAATTACAAAAAGTTGAACAAAAATGTTTGGGAGTAACAAAAACCAAAAATCAAACCTTTGCTTTATACCAAAGGAAATACCCAAAACCTCAAAGTTCTATACCACCCAAATTGACTTGTGAATGTCATAATATTACGACATATGGGGTGATAGCTGTAATTAAATGCTGTAATGTCGTAATCATGCCGTTATGCCATAATTAGGTCGTAATATAAGAATACCAAATGTAATAATCGATGTGTGATCCAACGTTATTAAATAGTCATATATTCAATGCTCGTTAATTAGCTTGTTTTACGAAATTACTGTCTCTTTCTTGTACCTAGAAAGCTTCGCTGTAAGCACACTTTTATGGTACAATTTACAGCAAATAAACAAAACCAATAACCCACTATTCTTATCAGAAAACAGTGACCCATAGATTTCCTTTGCTGTTGTAAACATTTTTCATAAAAATAGGCATTTAATAAAGCAAGAAATTTTTTTTTGGAAATAAGCTTTTTTTAAAAACCATAAGAATCTACATAATGCATTATATAGAAGCGAGGGATAACTCTCTTAACCCCCACATTCGGAGTGGATAAATTTGGCGTTAACCCCCACTTTGCGAGGGATAACTACTATTTATTTCCTGATTAATTGTTCAGCTAGCTTTTAATTATTAATCAGAGATTTTTTACTACGTTTCTTGGAGGGAATGGCAGTTGCATAAATTTTTATTTCTCTTATAATAGAAATATATTGGGCTATGTGTCATTAAAGGATTATGAATTAGTGTCTGTGTAGAGCCTAGAGAAATACATACAGAGGTAAAAAGTAAATTCAAAAATTTTATAATAGCTTTAAGCAAATTTTTACTAAGATGAGACTAAGGTCCACATGAGCCAGCTCACAAGCTGAATAAGTTATTTGGCTTGCAAGCCAGCTCATGAGGAGTTCTCAAAAATTTATCCATGACTAAGCAAACTAAAAATGTGACCTATTTATGAAATTTTGCATTAACTTTTTCAATAATATCATTCCAACCAAAATATTCAATATTCATTATAATGCCTCTTTCCATCTCCTAACAGTTTGAGAATAGTACCATCAATTGAAATATGTTAGATGGTAGACGTTGTGTTAATATTATATTTTTCCTTAGCTAAATCACCAAAAATATTGATATCAATAGGAATGCATACAACACATCTAAGGAAATATAGGATATATCATTAATGGTTCCATCATAATTTACTTTTTTTAAAGATTGGCATGTATTTGTTTTATTATTATCTAAAATAAGACGTGAGATTGAAGTATAATCATTATTATTGTTTATTTCATACTTGGAGTAAGTCATCATCATCCCATGTTATCATATACATCAGAATCAAATTCCTCTTCCAAACTTTCTGTATATTCAATTTGAGCAGTCTTGTAAAAAATGAAAATTGTTCTTTGCTTTACGTCCAGTGCCCTTTGTGTGATGATTTAAGTAATCCTTATCCCAGCATCTATTAAGCTCAATTGTTTTACCATAGATGTAAACAACTTTCCTGACATGGGCACAATATGGGTATTTAAAGGTTGCATTTTACAATATTTCCATGAGGACATGGTAAAAATGTGATACTGAACCTTCAAATTTAAGATTTAAGTATTTTTATCTAATATAGTAATAATTGATCCAAGTTCACTTACTTGAGAACTAAGATATGACCTTCAAAAATTCTACAGTGTGGTCATCTATACTCA